TCACTGTGCCTGACAAACAGAACATGGAGGATAATCCACACAATGTCTGCTCCCCTCTGCCTGTGTGTACCCTGCTCATATTTACCCTTGATTGGCGCAAACAATCAAATAATTAGCTAATTGCTCACACAGAGGCGGGGACAGAGACCGATAGGAGGGAAGGAAAGTGGCAGAGAGCTGTGCTACAGGGTGAGAGAATTCCCTGAGAAGACATGTGTGGCAGATCAATTTTGGCACTGATGTAGTGCTGCAGCTTGTGCTGATGACAGCACTCTCGGGAGGCTGGATGCTGAGCTCGGTCACAGTGGCTGAACCAGAATAAGCTGCATTTCACCTAACTGAGAAAATCCAAAACAGAAAACAATCCAGCAAAACTCTAATCATAACATGAAAAATAATAGAATCAAAAAGAATAGTAGAAACTGGTGGATGATAGTAAAAAAAAAAAAGAAAAAAATCTGAAACATGCAAAGAAAAAAAACCCTCAGCTGCCTTTCCTCGTTATTAGGCTATTTTGATGTCACACACGCTCAGATCCTCTAAGTAAAGAAGATCACATGCGAGGGAGTGTTGGTTGAAGGCGTGTCGGTTGGCAGGAATATGAATTATGCAATTACAAAATCTAACAAATATGAAAAATCTCTTTGATCACCCAGCTCGGAGCAAAGGAAAAACTGCAAATAAGAAAAACTAAGTGGACAGGGTACTATGCATTATGTAAGAGTAGTTATGAGTTATAAACGCACCATTGCCACAAGCATTCCTGGCACAGCCAAACCCTTATTTACATTATACAAGCCAAGCCTGCCTGCACTTGCTCGCCACACGTATATATAAAAACACATACATGCATGTTATGAATAATGTTATTCCCTTTATCTTCATATACAGTGAAATGGCAAAAATTGCTGTTCAGAAAGACCAAACAAATGAATACAAACATATATTCATTCTGCCTATTTGAAGCTACATACTCATTGTAGAAGACAAAGTAATTCATTACAAGCGCTATTAATGTCAGTGACTACATATATATATATATATATATATATATGTAGTCAATCCAGGTATCATAAAAGGTTTATATAGTAAGTTTCCAGATTGTTTAACACATATAGGAGGAGTTATGGAACAAATATATGCTATAGTATTTTTTAACATTTATTTTCCTGTTATCCAAATTGAATAAATAGGGTAAGCTGCTTGAGGATAATATTGTAATCTGTGCCACATCATTCAGATTTAGGTGTTAAGAAGAAAGGCAGGCTTTGTTTCACCTAACTGTACATGTGCATGTTGAGTTAAGTATTCAGACTGAGCTCATCTGGGAAATAATAGATGTAGGCATAACCCAACAAAGCTGTTATCGGATGCAGATAATACATTTCCTCATGCTGGAATTTACCACAAGTGAAAAAGGTCAGTCATACAATAAAGATCTGAAGGTCACTTTTATGCTTTTACATTCCTATGCATTCTACTGTGCATCAATTTCACATGTAAACTCACACCTACACGCAACTGTTGTTAGAGGCGCACTCAGCCACAAGCACACACAGCGCGTACAAAATACACACAGTACTAAACATAAACGAGCGAAGGAGCAATCATATCCATGCAAAAAGGTGGAAAGGTGCATAGCTTAAGTGATGGGAGCGTGGGCTGTGATATGGGGATATCTTGGCAGTGCTTAAATTTGGAGAATGACACTTGTATTTGTGATATTTTTCACTGGGCTCCTATCCCACGAAGTGCTGCGTTTAAGACAGAAAGCTCTTTTTAGAAGGTGAAAGATGAGAGGTTGGTAACAATACATGACAGGGGTCTCAAGGAAACTCGAAAGTGGTGTTGAGTTAAGAAAAGACGGAGGCTTTCCTTAACCTTCCGTTTTTGTCTCCAAGCAGGAATGAGTCTGTGTGGGTGAGAGACTGAGACACAGACCTGAGGTGAGAGAAATGAGACATGCAAATAGATACAGAAAAGAGAGTTGTTGCTGGAGCACACGAGTGTTCTAATTAGTGCTCATTTGGCCCTCTATAGGATGCACTACAGAGCCCCTTTTCTGAAGCGACTTACTGATAAAAGCCCAAGAGAGCAAATCAGTTAACAAAAATCTGTTACAAGATTTAATACTAATTGGTACTGGTCATGTCGCTGAAACTGAGAGTTGTTGTTTTTTTCGTTTTTAATCTCTCGACTGTGGGTACACATAAATAAATCTCCTGACAAAAGTAAAGCCAGGCTGTAGGAGCCTGTGTGTCTAGTTGTTGTTTTGCTTG